ATTCAGTCACTTTTGTATGCAATAGAAGTTTAAATACGGCTTCAATATCCCATTTCTGATTCTTGTCAGCATTGTTCTCATCCTATCCTGGTTGTCAGCGACTAACAGTAATTATATAATAAATTCAATATATTACTAAAAGGAGTCTAAGGAGTCATTCTAACCTCGAACACGCTGGCGTTCTGTTAGTGATTAATAGTAAATTACGATCACGTCAGAGCCGCCTACAGAGATACATTTCGGAAGCATTGCAGAAAAGGAATCGAATTGGTATTTTGATCCTAAAATGCACCTGCTGCCTAAGACAAACAAATGCAATAGCGACAACGTAAAAGACAATCTGTCCCCCAGCACAGTCCAGTAGCGAGCCTCCTTCGAGCGTGTCGTCGGAGGTGTATATAAATTATTTTATGGAAGATACGACGAATGAAAGGGAGGAGGAAATATTTATGATGATGCCTCATCCACTCCATTCTCCATTTGCCATGGTAGTTTATTAATGTCAAACTTATATTTATTAAGTTTGCTTTCGGATGGAATGCTGTTAAATGATGAAAGGTCACCATATTAAAGTTGAAGGATTTGAAGGATACGGCGAATGCGCCCACTGCGTAATAACCCAGTGGGCGCATTCTGTTGTGGACATTTGGCACAATTTTGGGTCATTTTACTCGTGCTGTACGGTATGCTGGATGCTGCAACTGCATACTTTGCTCAAAAATCCAATGGACGCTGATAATGAATTTTTTTATTTTTTTTTATTTAACCATAGTATGCAGTTTCAACATCCAGCATGCTGTACAGCACTAGTATGAACTCGGTCTTAGACTCATAGAAAGGCATTAATGCCTGTTCCGGAGAGTGGGATCGAACACATCAATATAATTTACTACCTATCAGGTGGATTGCATAAAACTGACTTTAGCGTAATGAGGCTTTAAACTTCCATTAAAACTTCCATTCCTTTAAACCTCCTTCTAAAGGAGGTTTAAACCTTCTCTAGCACCTAATAAAAGGAGGTTTAAAGCTTTATTACGCTAAAGTCAGTTTTACGCAATCCACCCATCATCGTTATATCTTGGAGGAAACTACCTCAACTCTTTCATCACCGATAGAGATCTTTCTTTCCTTCCCCCCTTCTCCGAATGCTACTGTTTATAGCTGAAGGCCGTTTCACCCCTTGCGTTTCCTGTATGTGACGCGTTCAATATTGCGCTGCATGCAGTAAACACAAATTTCATGTTGCACGTTCGTACCTGCGTCTCCATTGGTGCTGATAGACGAATGCGTCTTGTCGTATAGATCAAAGATGGCATTTCGACGCTGTAGGCGAACTTCCTCTCCTAAAACTTCTCCCTGTCATATGCATGCGTGCAAGAATCCCGAATTGAACTCATCCTAATTCCGCATGCAACCCTTGCGTTTTGCGAAAGCCTTTGTGTAAGTGGGCCTACGATTGCTTGCGTACGTCGGCCTACCTGCTCGAGCATTGACGCAAAAGACGCAATACACGCTACGGATGAGACGGCCATGACGCAAGCGTTGAACACGCTACTGGAGGTCTTCGGTAACAGGGACTCATCCGTTCATTTGCCAGGCAGTAACCGTGCTCGAAGGAATGCAACAAAGAACGTAGTGAGCCAGAATTCCGTGTACCCAGCGTTGGTAAGGTAACTTAATAGTTAAATAGTCCTGCAAAGTAATCCGAGAACCTTTTTTTTTTTTTTTAAGAAGTTACTATGTTAGGCCGAGGGTAGGCCTACCACCTTTTTCTGCTGCTGATTTGAGCGGAGCTGAGTGAAGGCATAGGCCTAAGCTATGATTGGCAGGGTATAGAGATGGCATTGAGAGTGACATGCACGCGTAATTGGGTTAGGAAGTTGTGAATAAGTAGGGCCATGTGAGATGCACGTGTAGGGAACGGCTGTGAGGAAGCGGGCTGGCCTGATTCTTCTCCGAGGGGCCGATGACCCCATACATGCACAATGAATCGAGCGCATACGCAGCGCAAGCGCAACATAGCCTCCAGAGAAAGTGCTCGGATCCAGTTCCCTTCAAACAACCAATCCCGGGGCTCGTTTCGTGGGCCAATCAGGATGGATCAGGAATAGCTGCTTCTTTCTCTGGGATGGTGACGTCATTGACCATATATGGATGTCGCTTGATGTGTTCTTGCACTGAACTCCGAGAGACTCCGTGCAGCCGATTCAATGGAGGCGAAGTGGTTAGTCGGTCTTGTTCGTTGGGCTCGTGAACTTTACCAACGTGTGTTTTTAAACGACATTCAACGTGGTCTTCGAATGTGTAGAGCAAATCATTGCTTTATCGATCATGCGTTGTTAGGTTCTTCGGCTTCTATCGTGGAGGGATCTCGGTAAAAGAGTGTTGTTTTGGTCGGGAGACCGTTGCGTAGGGCTATGTGGACGCCATATTCAGGTCGACACCCGTTGAAACACAATGTTACGTAGTAGGCACTGACTGTCAGAAGAATACGGTGTTAGGCCTATTGTGGGTTCGTGTTCAGACGAGTCTCAACTTGTCTATACCTGACTTAGACCTTTTTGATAAGTCTTAGTCTTTCAAGTGGTTGTACTTGGAAGGCGTCAGTGGCCTGGGCGTAGGCGTGAGCATGAGCACCTTGTGAGCGTTCCTCCTTTTTTCTTTCACAGATCGGAAACGAACTTTACATTTAAACGCGCTTAGCGAGCCGTGCGAGTCCTGGTCTTGAAATTCTCGGGAGTGAAGCATGGCACGTACGAAGCAGACTGCTCGTAAATCTACGGGAGGGAAGGCTCCTCGGAAGCAGCTGGCCACTAAGGCAGCTCGTAAGAGCGCACCTTCAACCGGTGGTGTGAAGAAGCCCCATCGTTATCGTCCTGGAACTGTCGCCCTTCGAGAAATCAGGCGATACCAGAAGTCCACTGAGCTCCTCATCCGAAAGTTGCCATTCCAGCGTTTGGTTCGTGAGATCGCTCAGGACTTCAAGACGGATTTGAGATTCCAGAGTGCAGCCATCGGAGCACTTCAGGCATGTTTTGTTCCTAGTTTTCGCATGTAAAAGGCTTAGGCCTAGGCCTGATTGAAACTTTGATTCTTTCCCATTAATAGGAGGCCAGTGAGGCATATCTGGTGGGACTTTTTGAAGACACCAACCTGTGTGCAATCCACGCCAAGCGAGTTACCATCATGCCTAAGGACATCCAGCTGGCCCGTCGAATCCGTGGTGAACGTGCATAAAGTCTCGGCGTCTCACTGGACCATCAGCGATTCCATCATGTGAAAGAGACAAAGCTCATCTCAAATCAATACTGCCCAGGGACTTATCTCTACAAATTCATAGTCGAACACGTTAATGTGTGCTCCTTTTCTATTTATTTTTTTTTGCTACTTCACCTGGTTTGGAACAGCATCTGCATTTTTTGCATAATGGGTGAATTCAGTTTCTAACTGTTTCTGTCAGGATAAGAAGAGATGAATGCCAGATCAGGCCTCTGCCCAAAATTTCCTTCTTGGAAGAGAATTGAATTGAATCATCTGTCAGGTCTTACGTGCTGCCACGATCTCAATGGAGCTGTTGGATTAATAAGGTGCACAACAAGGATTCTCAGCCCTCTTTCCATCTTTGGGTGGGAGGCCTCCCATGTGAAGTACCTCTGGATTGTCTGCCGATTTTTTTCCTTGTTCAGCTCCTATGTGTGATTGATTTGGAATGGTGTAGTGGCCGAGTGTCCGAGACTGTTTGGTCCTAGAGGTGTTCAAAGATATCCTTGAATGTAGCCCCATCATCAGGGTAATGCTTTCATTTTCTGCAGCCAAAGGAAGGGTTCCCTCATCTTATTTTCAATTTCTTAGGCTAAGCCCATGTTGCTTGTTCCATATCCCTTGTGGCTCCAGGATGTCTTCCATAATAGACATCTAATGGAAGTTCCAAACTTGATATGTTTTGGCTCGATTCTGTGAAGACAAGTATTGGCAAGTATTTTAGTTATTTTCCCAGATGATGTCTTGTACAAAAAAAAAGGATGGATGTATACGATCTGAGAGGCTGAGTGTTTTCATATCTTCCCTTGCACGCCCTGTGTGCTGTATGAAAATTGTGGATGTCACTAGACTTAGTGAGAAGATGAAAGAAATAAAGATGGCCACAAATGTTCAAGCCTTTTTGGACTTTTCACTTATGAAAGGAATGATTATGTATTTCCACTAGATGGAAGAATGGAAGAAAATATCTTAAGTACTCTGTTTCTTTAACAAAACATATTTTATTCAAAAGCATCCCAAATTCACTAGTGAAAAAGAGATCATTAGATGAGGAGTTTTTCAATCTCCTGCTGGATGACTTGAATCTGAGGCTTCAGCTGTGACTCTTCACTCTGCGTCACTGAGCAAGCGATGACAGGACGTGAAACTCCACATGCCCTTCCCAGAGCTGCAACAGGAAGGAGAGAATGAACATTCTAGGCTCAAACTCTAAACCTGAAACAGACTGGCTCAGGAATAGCCAGAGAAAAGGCACCAAATGTTCCATATCCTCCATTTTGTGTTGATGTAGAAAATAATGCTCAAAAGAATATATTCATATATGCTTACATACTTCCAGTCAAAAGAAAAAGTTCATACTCTTAAGGAGTATGAACCTACCAGTAGGATCAGACTAGTTTGCTGTGAAGTAAATTCAACAGTAAAAAAGACCTAACACTATTCATTTCATATCTGAATATATTCTTGATCAGTGCAAATCATTAAATTCACCAACAAAAAAAACTTTTTTTTTAATTGTGAAATGATCCAGTAGGGCAGCTTCATATGAGGATAAAGCCATGCCCAGCTTTTGTGATAATGTCTATCAGGGAGGAATGACATTTAAACTTAGTGATCAGAAACAGCTGTTTGGTAGCAGATGGAATTAGACCAGGATAGATGGAAGGGAGCAATAGCAAAAACATTTAGGAAGGAAGCGAGGACATACATTTTTTTTTTTCCCCATATGCTCCACATGAAGCACAACATCCATGACCATCAATACTCTCAATTTTCAACTGTTCAAGTCTTTGAAATTCCTTGTCAAGAAAAAAAACACCCTAGTCCATGTGCCTGCTAGAGCTGAGATAATTCCTTCTTTTACCTTAACTGTTCAAAATCCAATTCCGTAAGAAATAATAATCGTCAATATTTTAAATAATAAAGGTGGCTTTCCAACCATGTGCAATTTGCTGTGCAAAGATAAAGAGAAGTCCATGTTAAAAAGGATAGGACTAAACTACTTTTCATTTCAAGTCAGCATTTGCCTTTCAATTGTAGGCATTGTAGCTATATTTAGCTGCAGGGGGAAGCTTTTATTAAAATAATTAATATTTTCTAACATTGCAAAACAAATTTTCATAACTAATAGTGGTATTGATACATATTTCCATTATTAATAGAAATCTAGGCACAGTTACCATTCAGTTTGCAAAGGTGACTGAGGAAAGGAAAACCTATGCCACCTGGCAAGCAAGAAAAATTATATTTTTTCCATTACTTTTCTCCTCCCTTTGCTTCACTGATACCTGTAGAGAGGATTAACTCATTGATTTGGTATACATGATGGTCATGTAGGGATGTACACATTCACACATTCTGTTCAACATGTTTTGGACATAACACACTCCCTACCTGTCTATAACACCCACTAAGGACTTTTTGCCCCTCTTGATATCAGCATGAATGCTCGCAGCAAGGCAATTTCTGATTAGTCATATTCAGTTAACTGCAACTGATTCTCCAATCTAATAAACTTTGAGTTAACAAGTTATATGCTGTAAGGGACAATGAATTGGTTATTTTGGTATAGAATTGTGGATTGAACAAGATACTATTGGAAAAATATGCTCTGTTTCAAGGGCGGGGGTCTAGTCAGAGGAACGATTTGAGTTAATATTAAGGTGTTGTTCCTGACTATCTAAGGTATGCATACAATTTATTTTGAATATTCAAGGTTAACTCATGAGAACCAGGATGACAATTTTAGCTCAAAACTTCCTTGGAGCCCCAATATAATTAAATACAGTGAAAACTCGTTAACTCGAATCCTGATAAGTCGAAATTCTGCTTATCTCGAAGTTCAATGCTTGGTCCCGGCGGAACCCCGTAGGACACCATGTTAAAAGCTCCGTTTAACTCGAATTCGCTTATCTCGAATTTCCGGATATCTCGAATGAAATTTTCACTCCCTATAACAATTTTCTCACGATCAACTCGAATTCAGGGTGAGAAGGGGGGAAAAATTATTCTCGTGAGACTTTTCGATTTTTGAATAGAATGAATGACAAGAAACCCTTTCGGGAGGATGCTCTTTTGTTTCTTTTTTTT